CCATAGTAATTCAAATGTTTGGGACAGTGGGCTTGTAGAAAAATGGAGGACCTTATTTTAATGAGTTAAGGTTAGCCAGTTCTCTCTTCCCTCCCTCTCTCACACACACCCCTGATCCTAATTACATGGCATAAAACCTCTATCGGGCCCTGGCCTCATGATCTATTTTAATGTTTGACTTACTATATGCATTCTGTGACACTACAATAACACGATAGTACAATGAAATATGATGAATTATCACTCTCTCTCCCACCTCCACACCTTGGCCAATGTCAGCATAAAGGAAGTGAGGTGTGACATAGCATGTAACACACACAGGAGTAGAAAGGCTTTGCTGACTGTAAGTGTTGCTTCACCTGCTTATTCCTTATAGCAGGAGTCCCCAAACGAGCCACAGAGAGAGATCTCCCGTCCCCCTGCACGCATTCCCCCTCGCACACCACCTGCATGCATGGCCTGCCCACCCCCACGCACAGGTGCCCCACCTATCCACATGTGTTCATAAGCACCCCCCGCCCATCTGCGCTTGCGTGCGAGCACGCCCTGCCCACCTGCGAGTGTGCCCTGCTCACCTGCACATATGCGAGCGAGCACCCCGCCTACCTGCAAGTGCAGGGGGTGCCCTACTCCCATGCACGAACCCCCCCAACCAGTCCGCCATTCAGAAAAGGTTGGGGACCACTGCCTTATAACACAGCTACATGGGAGAGGCAGATATTGTAACAACCTGCAGTAGAACAACCAAAGCAGCAGCAGGGGAAGAGGAAGGGAACAGTAAGAATATAATGGAAAGGGCATGTGAAACATTGTGATAGGAACCACAGAGGAGAGAAATTAGCATTGAACAGGAAACAGCATGACTCCCTTGCTGATCTAATGGAGGATCCACGTGCCAAGGCAACAGAAGTAAATTCTTCATGTGGTGGAGGGGAGCTGGCAGAAAGGGGGCCTGAAAATGCCTCCAGACTTGAGAAAGAGGAATGTATGGGGCACTATTGTTTACACTTTCATAGCAAATGGGATAACTTCCAGAGGTATTTATGAAAATAGCTCAGTTGATTAATAATGAGGCAATGCAGGTTAAGATTTCTAGCTGTGGCTAATCTGAATGGAAATTCCTCTGTTTTGGAACTGATTCTTTTGAAGTAAATAGAAAGTACATTTTTGATAATAGTAGTTTGTGGCAATTCATGGAAGAGAGGGTCCCTCACGTGGCCCATTTTGTGGCCCAGCAAGTCAGAACACAGGAAGGTCCTAGAAGGCAACTCCCCTTTCCCAGGCACCTTAGCACTGGAGGAT